GGTGGAAGTGTGCTTTGGCCCGGCACGCCTCACGGACAGTTTGCTGGTGTTACCGGGCGCCTCCCCTTGTGGCCATGTATTTTCCCAAGCAACTATCTTGAATGACCCATCTTCGGGGGCGCCTGAATCAATGGAGACAGGAGAGGCTGCCGCATCGCTCGACTCTGATGAGGTAGGCGCGGAGCCTAAAAGTGATCCAAGCGCCTTTGGTCAATACTAGGGACCCAATACCTATCGGGGGCGCCTAGCAAAGGTTCGAAACGAATGGGAAATTTAAAAAGCAGAGGAAAAGGGGACATTACCCTGGTTGGTCGATTCAGGCGCCTGCGTGGTGGAGGTGGGCGCATCCGAGGCCGTTGCTGTAGTGGGCGCCTCCTCGTTGAGGGGCGCAGGAGAAGTGGTGGAGGTGGGCTTCTTAGGCGCCTCCGCGTGTTGGGGCGCAGGAGAAGAGGTGGACGTCGGCTTCTTAGGCGCCTCCTTATGGGGTCGAGGCGCCCGCTGATCTTGGTTTCGAAGCGGGTCGGGCGACAGGTGCTGCTCGAGCACGTCGAGCACACTGGGCGCCGAGTTTCCGCCCTTTTCCGCGGAAGTAGTGGCGGCACCAGATTTTGAATGAGACATGCTGATAAAATCGAGATAAGCGCACAGATAAGAGTGAGGAGGGCGCGTGGGCTAGAGAGAAGGGAGAGCAATAAGAGGAAATAAGAGCTAGAGAGAGAAGCAATGGGAGGACGAATGAAGAGGGGAGGAGAAGATAGTGTATATTTATAAGAGAAGGGCGGGGAGACGAAAGGTCGCCTCGAGATATGCGCGCGTTTAACGGCAGATTCTCGCCCTCCGTTTGAAATTTGAATTTTTTAAATTTGAAATTTTTAAATTTGAAATTTGAAATTCAAATTTTGAACGGATGCCGAGTGGGGGCGGCAAGTACGGTCGCGCGCCTAGGAAACGAGGAGACGTTTAGAGCAAGAATGGGGCGCATGAACTACAATGGACGTGTCTAAGAGGGAGGAATACAGCGATTGCATAAGGGGCGCGAGAGGTGGACGCGCAAGCTGTAACAGACGCATCAGAGTCAAGTAAGGCACAAGGGCAATGAATGAAGGGAATTCAGGCGCCCCCCAAGCCGAATGGTATTTTCTGATGAAGTCGATATGAAAAGGCGAAAATTGTTACGTGTGGAATGGGGGGCAAGCTGTACTCAGGCGCCCCACTGGTCGAAGGGTCATGGGTGTGTCTGCGGATTGTCCCGCACTTCCGGAGGACGCGCGCACATATGGGTTCATAGTTAGGCGCCCACCTGTGAGCGCCTAACTGGGGGGCAATTGTTGGGGTAGTAAAAAAGAACCCATAAAAGTTAAAAAGCCTGTTGGGCCCGAAGCCCATTTATGGCTATTTGGGGTAGTAGAGAAGAGCCCATGAGAGTCAAAAAGCCTGTTGGGCTTGAAGCCCATTCATGGCCTCCCTAGGGCATGACCTAGGCAGTCTCAAGGGAAGAGGGGCGCATAGCGACAAAATAGACTCGCAGACAAGGAAGTACGGACGAGTGGAGTCAGAAGGGCGCCATGAGGCAAGTGGTCCCCCTATGCGCCCCGACGTGGAAGATGGACAGCGCGCCACGTGTAGGCGCGTAGGCGTTGGACTAGACCAGGCATTTAATGAGGGAATGACGTAAGGCTTTGTGGCAGGAGTTGGTCAGAAGGTGGTTGAGGAGCTCGGGTAGTATAAATAGCACTCGGTAGGTAGCATTTAAGCAGGTCGGTCTTTCTCACACTAAACTTCTTTCTTCACTTCTCTCTCTAGAGTTGCTCCTGACTTGATCGTTGGAGTGCTAACGGACGGGTCTAGCCCACTAGGCGCCCGTCCTGCAGGGTCCAAGCGCTCGGCGTGAAGCAGTGGTGGAGCCACGTGGGAGGAAGAGTATTGTGGCATCAACAGTTTCATTAAGGTGAATTTTTCCGCATTGAATCCCTAACTAAAGCTTGATTTTGACATGATTGTTTTCTTAAAAACTACTAATTGGATTGATGCATATATTCAGTTCACAAATGAGGAATCTGAATGATACAATGAGTTGAGTTGTATTGAAGACTGCTCCTTTCATTATTTTTCTATGTTGTTATTAGGTAAAAATCACAATTCTTTTCCATAGGAGATATGTAGCTCTCTACAAAATATAAATTGTATTTAAGTATATGCAGTTTAATTTGCTGAAAATATTGCTTTAATAAGTTTGTGACAGCTGATAGTTTTGTTTGTGGTTGGTTTTCTAGAACATTTCAAAGGTAATTAAACGACTACGTGGAAGATTGATGGACGTGGATGCTAATGAGTTTCCTCATTATTCCAAAGTTGTATGTGTAAGTGATAATACACGATATTCATGAGATTTAGATCGGAATATTCTCTATTATCGTATACCGACATATGAGAAGGGAGAGAAAATAAAAAGCTCTTCGCTTATTTTTTTTAATTGAAGCATATTTTCTTATTCTAACTTCTTCTTTTGTGGCTGTAAAGTTTTTAACTTCTTTATCACAATTGTGTGCTAAAGAATGAATAACTCTTATGTTTATAATCTTAAAGGGCGAGTTCGATAAAAAAAAATTCTAAATCAATAAAGAACAATATACAAAGAGATCAGTTAATAAAATTAAAATGTTCATAAATAAACAAAAGGTATAAAAGTATGAAACAATACCTGAAATAAGGTAAGTGGCATTTACAATTCCATATATATTACCTTAACAATCATAAATAATAATAACAATTAGAATACTATAACGAATTATAAAATAACCAAACAAAATACACCGCCCAACGGCGGGTAAAAAACTAGTAATATAATACACCGAAGGGAAAAACGGGAGCCCCATTTCAAATTTCATGCAACGAGAGTAAAAGTAGGAAGGACATTTTGGTCTTCACAATTACTTTTTTTATTCATTAAAAAGACACGTATTGGGATTCGAACCATGACCATTTTAAAGAAAAGCAAGGATCATAACCAATCACACTAAGTACATTTGTTGTATCTTTTTAAATTAAAAACATATAATAGCAGGGAGGAAAAAACCATTCCCCCATTTCAAATTCCCTGCTCCAGGAGCGTTTGTAGGAAGGGTAGAATAGGGAGTGTCAATTTTTTTCTCTTTCCTCTGTGGAACGGGCCAACTTACCGTACACATGCGGATTTAAACGGGTCCAGGAGTGTCAATTTTTTTCATTAAGTCCTTTTATTTATCTGTGGTGATAACATATATATGAACAGGCAAAAACAATCTATCTACACATAATATAATACGCCGAAGGGAAAAACGGGAGCCCCATTTCAAATTTCCTGCAACGAGAGTGAATGTAGGAAGGACATTTTGGTCTTCACAGTTACTTTTTTTATTCATTAAAAAGACACGTACTGGGATTTGAACCATGACCATTTTAAAGAAAAACAAGGATCATAACCAATCACACTAAGTACATTCATTGTATCTTTTTAAATTAAAAACATATAATAACAGGGAGAAAAAAACCCTTCCCCCATTTCAAATTCCCTGCTCAATGAGCGTTTGTAGGAAGGGTAGAATAGAGAGTGTCAATTTTTTTCTCTTTCCTCTGTGGAACGGGCCAACTTACCGTACACATGCGAATTTAAACGGATCCAGCATTGTCAATTTTTTTCTTTAAGCCCTTTTATTTCTCCGTGGTGATAAAAATATATATGAAAAAGGAAAAAACAATACTTCTTTTTATTGCTAAAAATAAAAAAATTTAACAATAAACTAATGCATCGTATTTAATGGGCTAACCGCTAACCAGAAAATAAAAGAGTTTAATAGGCCTGACCTAAACGTGATTTGTCCATCAAGTAAAACAAATGAACATCATTGGTTTGACATTGTAAAACAAGCTATTTTCTCTGGCATAATATATATTATGCTATTATTTTATATTTTAGTGGCTAAAATATAATGTATTTTAAAGTTATTTAATGGTTCAACCTCGACCAACTCAATTAGTCCAATTTTAATCATTTCAAATATATATTATATAATTATTTGATATAATAATGATCAAATTATAGTGTATTTTATAGAGAATCGTTTGGTATTTGTTAGTAAAAAACTAAACAGAAAGATCTATTTGGTTATTTTAAACATTAAAACGATCCTAAACATTTTCAGTTCCTTTTGAATTTCTATGGTTTTATTCCCAAATAAGTGATGTGCAAATGGCGAATTGCAGTCATCTCTTTTCTTTCACTATTTTTTATTTTCAAATAGAAAGTTTAAAAGTAAAGAATAATTAGAATTTGGCATGAGTCGGTCAAACAGGCTGAATTTCAAGTTTTAGCCCGTTTTGATCAAGTCTAATTTATAATTACATGGTTCCCTGATACCCGATAAAAATCTCAATCCAAACCAGTTTGGCAGGTGAGTCTGTGTTTACCACCATTTTCTAGAGATATGACAACGGCGGTTCCTATCCCAAATCGTGTTGTTCGTTCTTGATTTCCTTAGATTTTATCATGGTCTGACAAAAACCAGAAAGCACAATGACGACAAGATGAAAGTTTTTTAAAGCAAATTAATCGGCCAACGGGCCGAGTAAAAGCTAGCAACGATTGTGAGATGCTCATTTCCCGAAAACCGACGGGATAGGCGATTTTTTATTCGATTTTCTGGAATTCGGTTTCTATAAAACTTACTCCACCTTATCATATTACTAGAAACAATATTGTTTCACAAGGTAACATGTACTTGATTTTGGTTCATAAGACCGATTTTTGATTCGTTGCATCATTCATGTCTCTTTCCTGCTAAAATTCACTATTTTTATCACGTGTTTCCCAAAAAAAACTATACAACAATAAGATATACGGCTATACGCCCCATTACATTATCAAATTTCATACCTCACCGTCCTTCTTTCGGATTCAAGAAACAGCTCTCAGAGATCTTTTTTCCTTTTGGAAGATACAGGAGCGAAACAATCAACCTATTGATATTGAAACGCCCAAAGAATTCTTCCAATGTATCATTTCTGGGTCCAATGGAATTCATAGGTATAGGAACGGCCAACTGGCCGGGCCACGCTAGTAATTACTATAAAAATAAAAGCAAATGGTTAATTAATCAAGCCGTAGCCGGAGAGCTAAGCGTGGGCGCCGCCGGCGTCGTCGCTAGGACTGCCGCTATGATGCGTCCTCTTGCTGTCGTGACTATTATGGCTATGCTTCCGCTTAAGTATCTCCTTAATCTCCGTTTCCTTCCTATCTACAAACTCTATCAAGTCCTTGAAGCTGGTCGTCCTCAGCGACCGCCGCGGCGCCCTCGTCGCCGGACGAATGTCCTCCGTCTCGCCGTCGCCGTCGCCGCCTTCGTGGGGGGAGAATCTGCTGTACTGGGTGTACACGCGGCAGGAGAAGACGAGGAGGGCGAGTAGGCAGGAGACGCCGCAGATCAAGAAGAACCCCCAGAAGCTGCTGAGCGAGAGGCGGTTCTCGTCGACCGGGTTGAGCGAGTCGGTGCACTCGCTGCGCAGTAGCCATTTGTTGTGGATCTTCTGGAGGTCGCCGTTCTCGGAGAGTTGGAGGATTGCCGTCGAGAGGTCGACGGCGAGCGGGGAGTCTCTCTGAAATGCCTGCCGTACGTCGCCGGAAGAGGAGCAAATGTTTAATTAGGGCAAAATGAAACGCCACATTTTCAATTCAAAGGGATAAGAACTTACAAATCCCCAGCCGCTCTTGGTGAACTCCTGCCCGACGGTGCTGAACTGGCAATTAGCGCTCGACAAGAAGAGCTCGACGTAAGGAAGCTCGTCGACGATGGCGGCCACTCCGCCGGCTTTGGGTCCCTTGGTCAGGGCGGTGGCGTAATCTTCCTGGGTTTTCAGTGTGACGAGCCTGGAAGCTGCAATGTTGAGCTCATCGACCAAGTAGTTCCACGCAAACGAACCGTCCTGGACTCCAATGGGTTCGGTGCTCGCAATCAAGCTGTCGATTCCTTCGATTCTTGAGGTCAGTTGTTGGACGGTCAGGATCGACTTTAGGCTGGCCGTGTAGCTGGAATTGATGATCAGGACAACGAATAGCCATATGATCAGCACCAAACGTCCCAATGTGCTCACCGTGTTCTCCCCTTCAGGAAAAATTAAGGTTAGCAGATTCAGTTCTTGTAGGAAATGGTTAGTGGATTCACCTAGGATACTACGCTTGAATTTATCCTTACTTACTGTGTGAGAAGAACATGGTTGAGAAGCTAAACCTGCAAAATGGGTTCACCAATGAAACACATCAGGGCTCGCAATTACTGCAGTAGTGAACTTTGGAGCTTCATATGTGGAGAGCAAGCTGAACTGACCAGAAAATGGTGATGAGCTGCTGGCTAGGAGGGCCGCGGAATTCGTGGTTCATGCGGTGCTCAAGGATCCAGACCACGGATCCGACCAAGAGGAAGAAAGCGCCGGTGACACACCACATCTGGATGGTGAATGGCTTCATGAATGCCCAGGGGCTGGATTTGGCTTGCTTCATTGGCACCACCACCACCAGCCCTGACTCCATGTATGGCTGCGTGAAATCCACTATCTTTGTTCTGTTCGTCACTATTGTCACGTCCCCTACTGCTGCATCATATTCCTGAAAGCATGGAGGTAGCCACAATCATCAAGTAAGTCAATTTGGCTCATTAACTCGTGTTTATAACAGATTTTTGCTATTTCATTTCTCGAAATCCACTTTTCACTAGGATTTGGACATATATACTTATTATTGACTATAACATTTGAACACTTCGTCAAGATCTAATTCATCCCAATAACTCGAGAACGTAATACTCATCATTTCATTTAGCAATTTCTAAGGAAAAAAACAGACGATCAAAGAGCGAAAACTGCAAATACAAGTTCATACTTACGTTAAGAGCAACTGCATTGACAAGGTCATTGTAGGAAGGATTCCTTTTCCCATCTCCATACAACATGTAAGTCCTAGGAACAGGATACGGCAACAAGTTGATGGCAGCTTCAAATACATCAATGCAGTACCCTCTAACCCCAGGAGGGTTCTTTTCCTTAGCCACAAATGCTAAGTAACTCCTTCGATTAGGAACTGCAATCCTCAGTGGCTTCCCGTTGTTAGGAAAAACCCAACCTCTTGGTGTCTCGGAGGTTTCACCAGGCCATATGATGCTGTACAGATGCTCGTCACTCTTGGAATTGGAATTCAAAGAACCATTCACAGGCTTCCCATAAAGTGTCTCAGGAGCTACAATGGATAGACCTGAGTGATTGGACCAGTACCCAACTCTCCTGAATGAATTCCCTCCGATATTGAGCACATCGTAAGCAGGGTGAATAAAGTTCTTATCAGAATCGAATTGGACTTCACCACTCAAACCAGTGAAGTTAGTAGTCAGAAGTGTGTCAAGATACTTCTGGCCTCCATCAAACACTCTAAGAGATGACAAATGCAATGTGCTTCCATTGACATCGCGTAATTTTGGATCGTTCGAGTAAGAAACAGTCCCGTTGCTGTTTAAGAAAGTCTCAAGTGCTTGTGCAGCCAGCCACACAGAGTCATAAGCATAGAGTGCATAGGAGTTAAACAATGCTGGTCCTGGTTTCTTGTATTCCAGACCATCATTCCATCTTTTCATGAACTGGCACCACAGAATCCAACAAAGAAGCCAGCCAGTCTGTAGTGATCCACACATAACCTTTGCTCATCATGCCAAGATTCTTGGCTTCTGAGAAAATGGAAAGCCCTGAATCAGGATTGACATGGACAATGTAAACCCTCGATTCCATTAGGTTAACCTCAACCAATCTCTCTTTGATTGTGCTTTGACTCCCTCCTGGGGCGATGGCAGCCTTGTAAGAGATCTGGGCTCGCTTCTTCGCCAAGGCATCTCCTAGCACAGACACTCCACTCCTTCCATAATCATCATCAACAAAGATGGCAATGACTTCCCTCCACCCAAAGTATGTGACCATATCAGCAATTGCATACATTTGGAAGTAGTCACTCTGTGTAGTTCGAAGGAAGTATGGGTATTGGAGTGCTGCTAGGGTTGGATCGGTGGCCGCGAATGAAAGTAATGGAACATGAAGCTCATTGACCACATGGGAGATCACGTGAGCTATCCCTGAAGACTGAGGCCCAATTACTGCCACCACTTCATTTTCCATCAGCTGCAAAGCTACAAAGCGAACACCATATTCAAGTCACTATTCTCACATTCAGTTGCCCTGGTTGTTCAAAAAGTTCATTCTTGCTTACAAAACCGATACATAAAGCGTCATTGTGACAGTAACAGTAAAAATTCTCAAATCCCTGATAAAAGGAAATGACTCTTTTGGCCAGTTTCATTTGTTTTGATATTGTCAGTACAAAGGCTATTGTTGCTTGAGATAAGTAGTAAAAAAGGCTATGAAGAGAAAATAAGGCGGGGATTCTGTAATATACCTTCAACAGTTCCAAGAAATCCGCTGCAATTTGTGTCATGGAAGAGAAGGTTCAGCTTTGTTCCTGAGAGGATGGTGGAATCAGAATTGACATCATCAATTGCAGCTGAGATTGCTGGCCTGGCTGCTCTACCAATCACTGAATCAAAAGTGAAGAGGGCTCCTAAATTCACCATCTTTGGCCTTGACGAAGAAGATGAAGAGGCATTTTTAGCACCCAAGACTTCCATTCGCAGCGAACAAACCCCAAGAATCAGCAGAAGCAGCAACACCTTTCTTGCCATTTGAGAGAAATTAGATGGAAGACTTGAAAATCAGCCCAACTTTTGGTTTCATACCACCATCTTCATATTCATCCTTATAATAATAGAGGCCTCCTGGAAAGGAAATGAGATGGGATGAACATGAGCAGCAAGGGAACTCAGCTGGAAAGCCTTGCAAACAAGTAATCTGCCGATGTGGTTTGGGGAAAACATTTCTGACACCGAACTTCTTAGCTAGAATCCAACTTTAGGGTCGTTCACAGATGAGAGGTACGAGAGCTTCCCCTAGGAGGACAAAGCAGTAGATTTATCTCCCTGAGAATAAAGAGGGAATCCCTCAAAAACCCCTCCCCTCTCAACCCCAAACAGTAGGAATCCACATCCAACCAAGACCCAAGTGTTAAAATATTGCTAGAAAGACTTGTAGACCAGAAAACCACCCAAAAGGATTCTTCCATTCCACTCTGATATTTTTGTTTATTAATTATTTGACATTATTTTAGCATCATTGGATCAAGTTTATATAAGAGGTACAACAAAAATAAATAAAATTTTCTCTTTAAAGCTTAAAAAACAGTTTCTGCAAGCTCAAGCAAAGAATGATTCTCTGTGCTACTGCTTAACCTAAAACATGTTACATGCTACTTGCTGGTTTTAGTCTTAGCATCTTATATCAAAGATGCATTAGTTACATGATGTCTCTTTCACCAAGTTTTGTATAGCAAAATCAAGAATGCAGAAGAAAGAAAGTCACTTTATTAGTGTCTGGAAATGGGATGGGATGAAGTAACAAGTGGGTCCAGGGATCATGTGTGTGGAGCATGTGGCCATTTTGCTTGCTTCATGCAAGATTACTATTTCATTGCAACCTATGTATCCTGCCACACAGTAATATTGTAATATGTTAGTGGAGATTAGTGTCTTGTAATATGAACACCAGTTGAATATTTAACAAGAGGAAGAGGAACATTGTTATTTTCACAGAGTCAGAAGCTCAGATAAAGAAATTGATTTTTGGAGGGAACAACCTATGGAAGTATGAACTAGATAAGTCTTATGTGGAAGGGGATGGGGTTTGACATCATCAGGAGGAAACCATTTGTTAATCACAAATCAAGAATCATTGAGTATTTATTGCATGCACTGCTGATTAGCAGCCAGCCAACTTCCAGAGGAGAATATATCTAGGAAAATGACACCCAATATGAACTAACATTAAGCATCTTTGGGGGATTGTATCATTTAATATTTACCCTATTTTTTGTTTTCCTTTTTTGTCAAGTTCCACCCTCTTCTGTGGGAAAAACAAGGAGGACTTTGGATTCAATCAATGGATCCAGTTCAATCCTAGGGTGTGGCGTAAGTTGAAGTCGATGCTGCTGGATTATATGCCACACATGAACTCTCAGCCTTTTAACACGCGCAATGACGATAAACAAAAATTGTCACTGCACAGAGATGAACAGTTGAGATTGCACGTAGGTGTGATCCAACAAGTTGAGACCAATCTGTTACAGTCTCTACCAATACTCCCTATTCTTGTGTGAATCAACGTTAATGAACAGGAGTTCATGCTCCTTTTTCATGGTAGTGACCATAAAGTTCTGATCTTTTCGTGGCAATGAATTAAAGAACAGGTCACATGAGTCTGGAAAATCAAGAGCACCATACCAATCAATCCCTAGTTTATCGATCCATGTCAATGGAGTAAATGGTGGGTGTTCCAAAATAACACCCCAGACAGAAGAAACTATACAAAAAGGACTAGGGAATGAGGTGTTAACATGAAGTCTGTGGTGGTGGGTATTAGCTGAAAGAAGCGGAAAAAATCCAAAAGTACCACTGTTTAAAAAAAAAATTCCAAAAATACCACCCAATCCCAAAAAATTCCAAAAATACCACCCTTTTTCAAAAACCGCCACCCCACCCAGCGGTTTGGTCGAAAACCGCTTGTCGGGGGCGCGGTTTTGGACCAAACCGCGGGCCTAGGGGGCGGTTATAAAAAAAAAAAAAATTTGGACCAAAACCGCTGGGTGGGGCGGCGGTTTGGCCCAAAACCGCCACCCCGACCAGCGGTTTGGTCCAAAAGTTCGGTCGAAACTTCAAACGAACGTAACTTTGCACTCGGGTATCCGATCGTAGCGATTTTTTTTTTCATTTCGCATAACTTTTCAAGATCTACAACTTTTACTAGGATGAAATTTTCAAAACAGGAACTATTTGTGGATATACGGGACCTTGAGAATAACTTTACCTTTACTTTTCAGAAATCCATGTACATTTTGAAATTATGATTATATTAAAAGTTGTAGATCTTGAAAAGTTATTCAGAATAAAAAAAAATTCATGACATTCGGATTTTGGAGCACAAAGTTATGGCCGCCCAAAGTTTGACGAAATAAAAAAAAAGGTCGTTCGGGGTGGCAAATGACGTTTTTTCGAGACGAAGACGGAACCCGACTGTTTGAGACTTGCAAGATCTCAAAAAGTTATTCGGATTCAAAAAATGGAGGCCGCAAACTTTTTGAGATCTTGCAAGCCGCAAACCGCCGGGTCTCGCCTTTCGTCAAACTTTGGGCGGCCATAACTTTGTGCTCCAAACTCCGAATGTTATGAACTTTTTTTTGATTCCGCATAAATTTTCAAGATCTACAACTTTTAATATAATCATAATTTCAAAATGTACATGGATTTCTGAAAAGTAAAGGTAAAGTTATTCTCAAGGTCCCGTATATCCACAAATAGTTCCTGTTTTGAAAATTTCATCCTAGTAAAAGTTGTAGATCTTGAAAAGTTATGCGAAATGAAAAAAAAAATCACTACGATCGGATACCCGAGTGCAAAGTTACGTTCGTTTGAAGTTTCGACCGAACTTTTGGACCAAACCGCTGGTCGGGGTGGCGGTTTTGGGCCAAACCGCCGCCCCACCCAGCGGTTTTGGTCCAAATTTTTTTTTTTTTTATAACCGCCCCCTAGGCCCGCGGTTTGGTCCAAAACCGCGCCCCCGACAAGCGGTTTTCGACCAAACCGCTGGGTGGGGTGGCGGTTTTTGAAAAAGGGTGGTATTTTTGGAATTTTTTGGGATTGGGTGGTATTTTTGCAATTTTTTTTTTAAACAGTGGTACTTTTGGATTTTTTCCGAAAGAAGCAAGGAATTAGGAATCTTATAGTGTTTGCTGACCATCAGATACATTTTAACCTTTACGAGAAGTTTCTGTCTCCTTCCAAGATACTAATTGCTCTAAGCTCCTTTCTGCACACTTTAGTTCTCGACCTTATTGTATTTGCCTGGATACTGAAGTAATCCACGGCGGAGAGTGTTAGCAATATATATTATTAGAATAATAATAATAAATAGTGTAATGCGTATTAGTAGGGTTAGGCAGTTAGAGTGGCCGAGTAGATTAGGGTTAATTGTTAGGGTTTTGGGTTTATTTTCTATAAATATGTACTTTGGGTTTACGTCATAATCAATCAAGAAAAGTATTAAGCAAAGTATCTTTCCTAAACCTAATATCTCTTCTCTCCAAGGCCTTGGTCGATTCCCAATTTTATTATGTTCTTTCTCATCTAAATCTCTAATCGTTACGAGTAGTTACAGGTGCCGAAGATCAGTCCCTAGAATTCCTAGAAGCGGGGTTTTTTCAGTGGTATCAGAGCTCGGTTGTAGGCACTCGTACCGGAACCATGTCGAGATTCGAAGTTCCCTCAATCATAGAACTCACCATGGTTCTTAGAATGCGGTTGGAGGCTGCGAGAGTGGAGAGGAGTTCAATCCCACCTACGACCGCAGCCATAATCGAAACGCAGGTCACTGAAACGGACTTTGAAGATTTGTTGGAACAATCCGCGTTCTCAATCGAGTTCGAGCAAGGGGGAACCAACGCCGTTATGAAGGCCGAGAAAGAAGCTGTTGTAGCGGCTGCTGGGACACCACCACCACCGTTGTCGTTAGTTGTTTCTGTAGTCGATGTCGCGGCCGAGAACATCAAACAGCCGCTGTTGGTGATCACCACCGAGTCGCTGAGACAGGAGCAACGACTTCACCATCGACAGATGTTGCCACTTATACAACGCAGGCAAAGTCGGCTGCGAAGAACGCGGAAGAAGATCGGGGACGAAGACTCGATGCGCTAAAAGCATCCAATGCTCCAACCCCGATTCCTGCCGCTATGGAGAGTGGAGATAGAAGTGTCATTCTCCCATTATTGTGCCTGGAATCAGCGAGTTCTCCTGGGGAATTTGAAAGGAGAACTCCGGTAACTATCCGGATCGAGCGCGTAAGAGCGAAAGTCGGGTGTTCCTAAACCCGACAACTCAACCACCATTGCGGCCGCCGGATAAGCCAGCAGCGGCGAACGATGACGATGAGGAGGAGGCGACGGGCCGCCGGGTTGGGCGGTTGGGGCTGCGAACCCAGCAACTAGAGAGGCGGATTCCAGTGGGTCCACTTGAAATGATGGGCAAGGAATCGCTGGAGCTGATGGAGGATTTTTCGGGGAACGAGTCGAAGAGGAAGATCGTGGGCTCGAGAGTGGCTCCGCGCCGCGGGATTGAAGTCTCGCTGAAGGGGAGAATCGCGCGAAGGGAGCAGCGACCCGCGGCGGTTGGCTTCGTTGCGGCGAGGTCGGAGAAGAAGCGCGGCGGCGGGATCCTCTGTTCGTCGTCGAAGAAGACGTCGACGGAGAAGAAGGCGAAGAGGTTGCCGGCGGGTGAGCAGAAGGAAGCGAAGGCGGCCCCCTCGTGTCGTCGATCAGCAGGGAGAGGAAATGATGGACTGAGTTGGTTCGTCGGGTCGGGTCGCTGGGTTGGTTGGGCCGGGGTGTTTGGGTCGCAGACTGGTAAAAGACAAGAGACCAGCTGGGTTCCTCTTAAGCCGAATTATTTGGGTCATTGGCCTAGTCGAGTTAGAGAGAGCAGGCTTGGAAAAGGAAAGCAAATGTGTTGGGCTTAATCAAGAAAGCAGGCTGAGTCAAGGAGGTATTGGTCCGTCATTGGGCTCTTTAATTGGATTTAAATTGCAGGAAAGTTACCCGAAGAAAGAAAGTTGTGGGTTTTCAAAATAGCTTAAGCCAAGCCCATGTGGAGAAGAATGGAACATAAATGGACTTATCATTTGTTTGGGCCACAACTCTCTCTTTCAAGCAATGGTTGGCCGAGTTCAAGGTGAAGGAAGAGAAGGTTGGGTGATCTTCACCACCAAACCCGCGGAAGAATTTATGAAGAAAACTGAAGAACAGTTATCCGACTCTTATTTTGTGGACTTTGAAAGGAAGGACGAAGAATTGTTCGGCTATAAAGAACGTGACACATGTCACGTGGGTGGAGGAGAGTTGAGGAAAGTTGGAGTTACGCGAGAAGAATTTATTTATGGAATTGAGCGCAACTGGAAACGTAGAAAGTGGAAGGCCAAGAAGACGGAAGTTAACTGCAACCATGATACTAGGAAACGGGCGGCGGTGCCAACCTAGTGCCTTGTTGACGGGTCGTCAACGTTGGTAAACTCCGGCGGTACGAGCAGCTTCCCGGACAGCTCATGAAGCATACGGCGAGCACAATCCTCGCGAAGCGAGGAATGGGGGGAGAATGCGACAGTCTCGGTTAGGGCGGTTGCTTTGGTCTTTAGCGATTATGGACACATGGTCTTTTTGAGAATCCAAGGTCCAAAGCTTTGCGTCCCAGTTTTCCTTCCGACCGTAGGCGAAGCCCGTCCTCAGCTCTTTATCGCCTGAATACCATTTAGTAGTAGGTTTGGCGTAAAAGAAGTTCTTAAACCAGGGTGAGTCCAACTTTGGAGTCCCAGTCACAAAGCCATAGGCCTTATCAAGTCTACCGAAAGACCACACGTTGGACACCCGCCGAAGCCCTAAGTAAAACGGAAGGCGGCAAATGTAGGTTCGATTCTAAGGCGTTGGCATGCAAGTCTGTACGCACAGGCATGAAAGATGATGGTGGGCGACAAACGTCTAAGGGTGCATTTTAGACACAACAGTGTCTGAGTGATAAGAGGGTCTAGGGGGAAGCGCAAGCCAAGCTTCAACAGTTCGGTGTATATGGTGATCCATCCTTTGGGACACGTTCCCGCCCTGGAAGTGGATGATAGAACTCGAGTCCCGAGCTCTACCTAGGGATTGGAAGGTTAGATCAACTAGGGATTGATCCGGTGATTTGTGAATAGGAAGAGGGTTTGGATTTGGGAGTTTGATCGAGGAGAAGGAAGGAAGAAAAGGTGTTGTCGCGCGGCAGCAAGGGGAAAGAAGAAGAGGGTTCGGCGATCAAAAGAGAGGGGAAGAGGGAGATTAATCAAAAGTAGGTTTAGGTTTAATCTTGCGTGCCCATTTCTACGTAGCATCATAGTTTAAGTACTAAAACACAATTACCTATCACTACCCCAACTTATTAATCTTAACCTAGTCCCAAATCAAACCCACATAAAGAATTCTTAACAATCAAATCCGAATCACAATAAACAAATAACTTAAGTGTCTATCAGTGGAAGACGGCGATGCATATTTCCACTCAGTTGGAAGCTTGTAATTACTGAGGCGGGCAAGGACGGTGGCAGGCTTGAGTTTGCTATACCTATCAGGTCCTCGATTGAAAGCACGAAAGGGAACTTCGCTTCTACTCCACATATGCTCATGAAGGCGCACAGAGTATTCGTCGTCCGCCACCGCGCTGTAATCATGGTCGGAAGTATCTTCGGAAAGCCTAATGGAAAGCGCCGCTCAGACGAGTTCTGTTCATCAATATTGAGCCCCTCCTCAGTACTCACGCTCGCCACAGACAGATCGTCGAAACTGGCTAAATTGTCCCCGACGGCGGAAGCGTCCCCCTCCCTATTGGCTACATTCTCTACGCCTAAACCCAAAGCAACATATGTCAATTCAAATGACCCGTCTTCAGATCTACCTATCAAGTATCGACCGTCATCCGACTAGGAACCACCAAAGTTTGCATCTACCCCACTAAAATCCCAATCAGTTTCCGACATACTAAACGACTATATAAGATTCAGATTTAGCATACCTTGAGTGGCAGCGATAATAGGATCCGACACCGTCTCTGACGAGTCGAGATTAATTGGAGCACCGTCGGAGTAATTGCGGCGACAGCGGCGGCGGCAGAAGGGTCGGCCGACGACTTCTTCCGGCCCGGCGACGACCCAAAGCCGATAGAAGGCAACAAGTGCGAAGAGCCGTCTCCACCAGTCATTGTAAGAGAATGCCGGAATTTCAGTAACCGCAACGGGCTGTGAGAAATACAGAAGGGAAAATCACGAGGACGGCAACAATCAAAAGAAGAACCAGAAGACGAAGCCAAGAGGAAAACAGTGAACTAACCCGTTTCGATTCTCCAGAGGGGTTTTTAAAAGGAAGAAGGCGCGGATTCCACAAAAGAGCCCTCGAGAAACCCTAGGTATGCTATATAGGTAATAATTACGGATTTTCAAACGTCTGACGGCACGTCCCTTCTGCTGCTCATGGGAAGACGTGCTGTCTGACATGTGGCAGTCTACAACGGATAAGATCATCCAGAGGCGTGACATCACCAGTTCGGCGACTGGGGGGTATGACGTACTAGTTAGGTCTTTGGTTTGGGAAGCGTTCCCGCCCCAGACTCAGAAGATCAACCGCCCAAACCCGGAGTCTTTACCCGCATTCGGGACAATTGTTGGGCCATACAGGAACACCCCAAACCAAAACAAAACAAGAGCAGGCCCAATAGCCATGAGGGCCCAATAGCGAGTAAAGGACCGGAGGCGCCTTTCGGCCTAATAGCCATGAAGGCCCAATAGCGAGTAAATGAAAGGAAGAGGAGACGCCTCCGGAATCGCGCGCGTAAGAGACGTACGAGGGATAAGACGACACTCAGTGCTAATCATGCCTATACTGACACTTTATTAAATGCAGCTAGAGGCCTATCTGTTTGGGCTGGCGTAGGGTACAAGCAAGACAGAGCATTAAATGCTCATACAAACCATCACCGACTATAAATACCGACAAACCACCACATTTAATGATAACTAACCTACTCTCTTTCTCTATCTACTTTCTCTCTCTGAATACTTGCTTGATCGTTGGAGAGTATCCCGGGCCCCCGCCCCGGATCTTTTCTGTAGGAACGGTCTTCTCGTCCAAGGAAAGAAGGGATCTCCTCAAAGTTCCCACCAATCCCGTCTGACACTTTCTAGGCGTAAACAACATGCATCACGAAGAAGACTCTTTGGACTTAATAGTTTTGATGGAATGTCAACGTGCGAGGTGCCCTATCTGTATCCTTGATTTAATTTCTATTGTGTTTGTTTGCTCCGGGCATATTTTCTTATTAGATTTGCAGGGTTTGCTGCATTGCGGTCATTTGACAGCCACCAGCGGCGAATCCAGAATATAGAAGTGCGCTGGGCCGGATTCGAACATAAAATTAGATATCGTAAACAAAAAAAAATTATAGTTTGCATTACAATGTCAATTGTACACGACGGTCTTTTAATTTAGCAAATTCGTCAATAATTGAGTCTTCATCCATACCAATAACATACTCTCTCTCAAAGAAAATAGTCAAGCAATCAGCAAGAAATTCATCGCCCATCTTGTTGCGCAAATCAGTCTTCACATGTTTTATTGCTGAAAAGGATCTATCTGTAGTAGCCGTTGAAACAGGCAATGTCAACACTAGACGAATCAACCCACAAATCAATCTGTACCGTGCGTCCATCCCCTGTTTCCACCAACTTTCTCTAGTAATTTTGCAAGGGAAGAAACATCATATTCCTGACTATGAGCCACATGATCGGCATAATATCCTAGCACATTCTTCAAACAATTCATCTCATTGCCTTCAAAGTCTTGAAGATAAAACTCTTCAGCAAGTCTGTAAATATTTTCTTCATCAAAAGACCGGAAAGAACTTTTAGGGTCTAGTGCACCACTCAACTGCAGCAATCTGACTGATGACTCATTGAATCTTGAATTCAATGTTCCCAACTGAAAATCTATGCATTGATTAAAGTATTCAAAATGGCAGCGGTGCTCAAGAGTTGTTTGCTTCTCACCACGTCCAAGTGTAGCATTCATATTAGGTACCTCTATGGCATGTTTTGAGCAAAAAGATTTTACCTCTTGGAGTAGCTTGTCTCATTCATCCCGTAGCTTTTGAAGTTTAACTTTTGCCATGGAAACAAATCCAACTGCAGCTACAATGTCAACAGATTCTTGTTGAAATGCTTGACAAAGAAAATCCGTGATATCCATAATCTCTTTCATCAAGTGAAGATTGAACACAAACTCAAAAGTCTTGATATTTTTTGAAGCACCTTTGGCTTGAGCTCGTTGTTCTCCTTCTTTAGAACGACAAAGATCCTCTAGCACTACACATGTTGCATTGAACATGTTTATAATGCTCAATATGGAATGATATTGAGATCCCCAACGAGTTGGCCCCGAACACTTTAAGGATGTAATTTGATTAGCTCCTTGTCCAGATTGAATTTCTCCAACATCCAACATACCATCAAGATCTTTTTTGTGAATTGCTTGCAACTCCCTGGTCCGTTTAGGAGAAGCCTTCACAACGTTTATGATACAATCCAATATGGAAAAGAAATCCCATATAGGATCACATACCTTTGCAGAAGTAATCAATGCCAACTGTAATCTGTGAGCAAAACAGTGGACAAAATAGGCATATGGGCATTCTCTAAGAAATAATGCCTTGATTCCATTAAACTGTCCTGACATATTACTAGCACCATCATATCCTTGACCTCTCAATTTTTCAATTTGAAGGTCATACTGAGAGAGAACGTCACAAATAGCTTGTTTTAGTGTTTCTGCAGAAGTATCAGCTCCACTATTGAGAGCGAAAAAGCGTTCAGTTACTATACCAGAAGAACTGACATACCTCAAAATAATAGACATCTGTTCCCTTCCTGCTTCATCAACAAGAATAGAGAAACAAGAATCTCCAATCTCCTCGTGTATCTTACAACGCACTCTATTTGTTATGATTCCCAATATCTCCTTCTGAATGCTTGGTGAAGTGTATTTCGCATTTCCTGGTGCGTTACGGAGAACTACACTATTGATTTGATCATTCAACTTCGCTGCAAAACCAATCCAAGCTAGAACATTCTCCGGATTCAAAGAATCATCAGATTCATCATGCCCTCTAAAAGAACTTCCTTGTAAAGCCAACTGTTTGACAACCATAATTGTTGTTTTCAACCACAATCGATGCTTTAGAACTTCTTCTCCACCAATTCTGTGCATCACTTTATCAATATGACCGGAGGGTTTATCAAGGCATCAGCCGCTGTAACACATTTATTATGGCTTGAAGAAGCTGATGAACCAACATGAACAAGGAACACACATTTCTTACCATTAACCCTCTTCCAATTATCAAATCCATCTTTGACTAGTGCAGAAGTTTGATTCCCATTCATCTTGTCTCTAAACAAAAAACATGGGAAACAATATGCTTTATGTGTTGTAGGAGAATACTCCAACCAATCAAATTGTGAATACCATGCTTCTTGAAAGTGAAGAATTTTATCTGGATATTCTCGCGACTTATAGTATGCGAGTTTAGGTTGATAAACCTTGTGTATTAGGTATTTTCTCCTAACCTCATCTCTCAACTCAAGAGCCCAATCACATATTTGTTTCCTCTTTCCTGGATCTCTTTCAATTTCAACTCCACTATCAGATGATGGAAGTAGATTAACGGATACAGGAGAAGTAGATGATTCATTCTGAACTGGAGAGGAAGATGGTTGATCTTCATTAGGAGGGACTTCTTCGGCCTGACACGTTTCAGATTCCTTACGTTGATAGTAAGAAAACAATGTTGTTTTCGCCTTTTTATTTGGTGGTTGAGAAAATGTCATGATGAAATATATTGAAATCTGCATAATCAATTAAACATATACACACAGCAGTCAAACACTAGATTCTAAGTAATAAAATAAATTTGGATACAAATTCTACCGAGTATGATATATGAGAATTCCTAATATGAAATTCTATGTTAATGTCTTAATGCATAATTGCCCTATACAAACTTAGTTTCTAAGTAAATAAGACTTAGTAAACTAAGACACTAAGATCAATTGGCAAATTGCAATTACCTGTTGCTGTTGTCCTTGTCGTCTAATCACAAAGTAGCCGCTGCGGTCTGCGGAGAAAGAACGAAGGCCAGCTGGCCAATTGATGGGGGTCTCCGGCGCCGGGTAAGGGTCTCGGGGAGGTGGGGAGCAGCGGCCAGCGAGCAGGTCTGTTGTCTGTTCGTCTTCTTCTTCTTTTTTTTTGTCCCGGACTTGCAGGGAAAGCTAAAAAGGAGGCAGGGAGGGTCTGTAGTATGTTAATTTGGGTCTGTAGTTTGTTAATTTGGGTCTTTTAATTTGAGATATGTTTGGGCTGGCCGGCTGGGGCTGGGTCTTGGGACTGGGCCCAAATAGTTATGCACTAGAATTATGCTGGGTTGGGTCTTGGGGAGGCAGGGAGGGCTGGGCCCGGGCCCAGTGTGGCCCCCCTGTATCTGCCGATGACAGCCACATGGGCTTGGTCTTTGACTTCTGTCTTGCAAAGGGTGAGAATTAAGTCAAGGACTTAGTCTTTGCCAAATAGGTATTAAAAAGCTGCATATATTGTGGCAAGAATGCTCTCTTATTGTTTGTCGGTGGTTGGTCGACTGACGTCCCTTCTTTTTCGTTTCAGCATGAAAAGACTTTACTTTGTATATTATATTAGCCGTTTCCTTCTTTTGGAATATCTATGACAAAAAAACAAATAAAAAAAAAACTACTACAATTTAATTGATAGAACAAACTAATAGCAAAGGAACAACATCAGCTTATTTGTCATTCACAAAACTCCATCCGCCAATGGGTCGGGGTCATGGCTAGTGTCTACTAAATATTAGTACCAGCGACGAAGTGCCAAATTAGAGCACTTCTACTATGCTCTAAAGTATGGGTGCTTTAATGTACAACTTGAAGTTGTACCATAACGTTAAATGTATAAGTTTAGGTTGTACCATAAATGAATTTGTACCCTTATCTTATGGTACAACTTTACAACTTAAAGTTGTACCATCACATAAATGTACAAGTTCAAGTTGTACCAAGAAAGAATTTGTGCAAAACAGTATATGTACAATCTAAAGTTGTATCATAACATTAGATGTATAACTTCAAGTTATAAGACAAAACCTATAATACCAATGCTATATAGCATAGTAAAATTCATCGCCAAATTAATCTGTGGCCAACTCAAACTATGTTGGAGATGGTTTAAGTCAGAAAGCCAGATAAACAAAGCCCAGGCCTAAGTGAAAAAAAAGGCCTTTCCACGGACGAGGTTGGGTCAGCTCTCTTCTTTTAGCCCATCTCTTAAAAGGAATTAGGCCCATCATATTGCGGTGGCGAGATGGCAATTTTGTAATCTGGCTTATACTTAGCCGGTACTTCCTGTTTCTTCTTTTGGGATTTGGATAGGCTCTTCTCCCCTATCTGTTCTAAGGAGCTTCTGGTCATGGCGTCCTCCTCCATCACTTCGAATTTTTATACCAGGTTCGAGAACCCTATTCCATAAAGCTTCGATTTCCTTTGTTAGTGGTAGTAATTTTGTGGAAAGGTTCTTGCTTGGCGCTCGGTTGGCTTCACATCTCAGTTTCTGTTGAACGTTTCTGGCTAGCTAAATTACTGGAATATAGCTTGGGATTCTCAGGTGAAAGGTTATTATTAAGTACAGCGTTCTAGCCCTAGAGTTTTTATTTGGCTTTTACTAAACCCTGCCTTCCCACGTTCGTATGTGGAGTCATATAACTTCCAGTGGAGCTTTTGCTCGCTGAAAATGTCGAGTGAACTGAACTACATTTTGCTTCGAGAAGCACCTATGGAAAAACAGTCGCTTTCAGAATGTGCAGTCAGGTTACTTGCGCAATAGTTCAAGGGAGACGAGTTACTGTCCGTATGATGGTTTTTTATACTGAATTGAACAGTTTGAATTAGCCTTCAAGGCTACAGATTTGTAAAATGTGCTAGAGTATGTTTCTTTGTTCCTTCTTTGATCCGTTTGGTATGCATGTAAATGTAGCATGAGTTGAGGTATCTAAAATCTCAGATGTAACTTGCCTTCTTCTGATGTTTTCAGCAATCTGAGATCTGTGTTTTGGGGCGAGAGTAGCAGAATCTGTGTATCTCACACTCCAGTTTCTCGTTTGAGTTTCCCGAGGAGGAGTATCGAATGTAAGGAGTCAAGAATCGGTAAGCTGCCGATTCAAGTTCCAGAGAATGTGACAATCACATTGGAATCCCAGGAACTGAAAGTCAGGGGACCTTTGGGAGAACTCTCTAGGGTTTACCCCTCGGAAGTCAAGCTCGAGAGGCAAGAGGATGGAACCATTCGTGTTAAGAAGGCGACGGAGACCAGAAGGGCCAACCAAATGCATGGACTTTATAGGTCAGCTCTCAACTCTATTGATTGCATGGCTTTGCTTCCACAGTGGTTCTTTGTGTATGATAGGAGAATGTGTTTGATACAAAACTTGCTCGATTTTCAGAAACTGATTGGTTGGACATTTTGAGGACTTCTATGGGGTCGTTTGCTTCATCGATTTAAAAATGAGGGTTTTGTAATTTAAAAACCCAAGGATTTATCAAGGATTTGAGGCATCATGGATTTGTAACAATCTTTTGTTTGTTGGGATGTTTTTATCATGGATTTAAAGGCGTGGGATTTACTACTTGAAGTCAAAAATTACATTACTGCCCTTTTCTATATGTTTGACATGTTTATGATATGTACACAAAACAAGGACAATACATACTAATAAGCATAATGTTGCCACATGGACAATAATAATAAACGAGAAAATTCCGTTTTAACTTTTAACGTAACATAATCAATTACCAATTCTTTGTCGTCCTTTTCAAAAGTAACATATAACAACATATATTAGAATCGGGAGAACAAAGAATTACACGTTCCATGAAAAGGTAAAAGAAAACTAGAACACAAGAAATGATATAAAAAATCTAACTCATGTTTGCACATTAATTGAACGTTTATATTATTCATTTATTGTTAATTATAATGTATAATAGTTAAATTTGAGGGCAACTTTGGAATATTAAAAGTGCATGAGGGTATATGGGTAAAATCTCATCAAGGATTTATGCCTTATTCCAAATCCCACATCAACAAGTGGGATTTATAAGTCCGTGGGGTCCACGGATTTGGACCCTTAAAATCCGTGGGCCACACGGATTTGGTCTCCAAAAAAGGTGCAAGCAAACAACGGATTGTACCTAAATCCTTGATAGTTGGTTTTTTGGTACCAAATCCATGTACCAAATCCTTGAAGCAAACGACCCCTATGAGTTCTGTAGTCTATTTTAAGTCACGAAGAAGTTTGTGTTGGAATTCAGCTACTGATATGTTAATGACTGGAGTTTTAGTTGATTACTGAACTCGACGGCTAGAAGTGTGAAATGAGTTATCATGTATTGATGGAAGCTTCTTGTTGTCATCTAAGAATTTGTGGTGCTCTTAGCTAGTATAGCAAGAACAAATTGAAAACAGAAGCTTGAGGCTGTGTTCTTGTCAAATTTACTTACAAACTTTAATGACTCTGACTACTCTTTGCAAATTGGCGTCCTCTCAGGACACTTACCGACAACATGTTGGTGGGAGTATCGAAGGGGTTCGAAAAGAGGCTTCAATTAGTCGGAGTTGGTTATCGTGGAACAGTTGAAGGAAACGACTTGGTTTTAAGTCTAGGGTTTTCTCATCCAGTTAGGATGAAAATTCCGGATAACTTGAAGGTGAAGGTGGAAGAGAACACCAGAATCATAATCAGTGGGTATGACAAGTGTGACATTGGCCTGTTTGCTGCTTCGATTAGGCGATGGAGGCCCCCCGAGCCGTACAAAGGTAAGGGTGTGAGGTATGCTAATGAGGTTGTGAGATTGAAGGAAGGAAAAGCAGGGAAGAAGAAGTAAATGATTGTTTTCATTGTTTCTTTTTGGTGTTTTTGTACTTGTATTCGTGCCGGTGTTTCACCAGCAGTATGAATGATAACTCTCACAGAAGGTAACGAACAAAATCAATCCTGAGATTAGTTTCTTCAGTGTATTATTTAATGACCTCCAACTCCATGTTCTTATGATGGTGAAAACTCGAGAACTTCCTCTGTTCTACATGCTCTTTACTGATCTTTGCCATTGGAGATTAGGAGAACCTGGCCATTCAAGCTTTAAGACATAAGACCCTTGCTAGGAACGAAACCACAAGTTATGAAACCAAAAAGAGAATAGATCCAAAAGTACAGATGAACAACCTTAGTCTGGTAGTGTATAAGCACTTCATATTTGGAGTTAATGCAGAGGAAAACCAAATCATGTACAAAACTCGGCCTACTCTGAGACCATGCACTGATGTACAGGACTCATCATTCGTCAATCAAGTCTAGGTAAGAGTTTCGATCTAGTAGACTCTGGTTCAAAACTCGGCCTACTCTGTAAATTGAAATTTCGTCGCCAGGTTACAACTGTCAACAAACACAGTATCAGCTACACATCCAAAACTAGAGTAGGGCCCGACCCGATGGTCGGATTCATTTGGTCTATTACATAAACAAAAGTTATAATTGTAGGAGACATGACACATTTTTATAGGGTTTATAAAATAATTTCAATTATTTCATCACCAAAAAAATAAAAAAGAAATATACATCATAACTTCTTTTTATTGTATCCTAACGGATTATCGTCCAAAATTCTTATAAAAAATATATAAAAATTGTGTAAGGGACGTGACATATAAAAAGTTTATCAAACGGCATTTAGATTTACCTCGATATCAAAATGAATGCAATTTTTTTGGAACTTATTTGAGATTGCTTCCCCATCAACATCCTTATATCCACTAACAAAAGTGTCTTCATCTCCATCAAACCTCTATCTCTATCATCAAATAGTCCACTCCTGTCATTACATTATCTTTTTTTTTAAGAAGGAATAATTAGTTATCAATTCTTATTTTATTTATTATTCTCGTATATAGCTTCATTTAGAAGGGAAGCCGTGAGATTAATTGTGCGAAAGTGCATTTTGTGAATTTTGGGCGGATGCCAAGTCAATGGCCTAGTAGTATTATATTTTATGTAGTTTGCTATATATTTGTACTTTATTCATTCAGTTAAATTACTAAAGAAAGAACAAAAGATTTACCTAATCAATTATCTGAAACCTCTCTCTGTTCTTCCTCTCTAACGCTCTTGATTTTGTTCTCTCCATACTTGTTCAACATCTTCTTGGATTTATCAAGTCTCTTATGGGCCTCTAAATTCTCTAGTTTGATCTCCTCTAATTATTTGTTATCTCAAAGTCTATTTATTTTTCTTATTTTTGTCCAATTCTCCTCTAATTATATCTTTATGTTAATCAATCATGGATACCAAGATCCTCTCTTTCATCAAATGGTATCATAGTCTAGTTATCCTATCACCCAACACTGTCGCTTATGTCATTGCAACTCGTATTAATTGTCTTCAACGAATTTGTGGAAATTACATGGAAGGTTTGGCAGATATCCCGGTGTCAAAGAAACAACAATTATGACCAAGAAGGATGGTGCAACTACCTTTTCGATGTTGGCATTGTCAATTGAGAATTTTTCATTTAGATTGTGCAGTGAAACATTTATTTTGTCGTAATGGATTCATTGCGGGAGTTGGATTAAATTGGAAGTGAAAGAGTGGTCGAACCTTGAAAACGAAGTATATGAATTAGTTTATACCAAATCTCGAGGAAAAGTATCTTTTAGAGAGATGTATTGATGAATGATTAGTTATTATTATGATTATCATTGAGGGTAAGAATGTTTCAACCATTTTTATATTTTTAGCCATCCAAGCCTTATTGTCCCCTAAACTTAATTCTTTATTACATATCCTTGAATTTGTATAAATTTTCTTTTTATCGCTCTCAATTCGCTAAATATTCATCTAGGATGAATTATCCTTTATCTCGTTGTCTATTTTCTCTACTTAGTTTTGGCCAATTCTCCTTTAATTGTATCTTTCTATTAAGCAATCTCGGGTTCCGAAATCCTCGCTCTCATCGTACCCACAACCTTCACCATTTGCATGCTTTTTCTTCTTCTCTTGCATTTTATTGAGATAAAATTTTTAATGGTGATGAAATATAATTTCTGTGCAAGTAAAAATTTACTTTTCCTTATATGCCGAACTGCATTCTCACTTATTGAGTCTGCAATGTTGTAACTGGTTATCTTGATATGAAAGTCTCCATTTGTATGAGATAAGGGTGGGAATGTCAACTCATTCTATCACTCGCTTGAAATTTTTTTTTTTTCCGTTGAATGCTTGAAATAGCTTTCTTTCTAGCTTACATAAAAAAAAATATATAGCTTCCATGTGATCAAGAAACAACAAAGTTAGATTTAGTGGTTTTGTCCATAATACGGAATTGGATCCTGGATATGTAAAATGACAACAAATCAGATTCATTATTTAGTAAATGTTTTAGTTAGTAACTTGGTATGATAGTTTTTTCACGACTAAATGAATGCGAAGTTGGAAAAATAGAAGAGTAGAGTGAGATTTTGGAATCTAAATTCTCTTTAAACTCCTAACTTATACCACACAACAAAATACATAATTTCAAATGACATTAGTTTCACCATAACTCAAAGTCAATCACTTGCAGAACTTTTAGATTTGCCAGCGGTATCGACCCCACAATGTAGAGGAAAATTTATAATTTTGAAAATTATAGTACTTTTATTGCATTTGAGGTACACATACTGATAAGTATTTGCAAATTCAAGTTATTTTTCTAGTCATGAATATATAGTAATTATATTTCCATAATGATTTATAATTATGCTAACTTAAATATCTGCTTACCTTCAATTTTTAAGATCTAAATGAAGCATGATTTGACTGATTGAATGATTTTTCAAGGACAATATTTATTTGAGATGTAGAACTGCAAAAATAATTACTAAAAACAATATGAAATATATATAATCTGAATAATAATTGAATTAAAAACATACTTAATGACTAATTAATTGAGATGGACATCTTAGACATAATGATGTTGTCATTTTTTGGCATAATACTATGGAACTACTTGCCTCAACATGCATAACCACCTTGGAGGATAAATAAAAATCGCATAGCAAGAAATTCATGACAATTCAATTAACCATCCATCCCTAAGCATGTGTTATTGTGACTATATTTTATAGTGGATTATCTTTATAGAAAACGATTTATTAGGGGCAATTTATCACGACTAAAACTTGAATTTTTAATCCATAGATGTAACATCGATCGAAACTTATTACAATTAGAAGCCTTCAATTCTAGGAACTAAATATTGAAAACACATTCATAATTAAGAAAGGAATTGCGAGGCTGAGTATTTTTACAATAATGTAGGTTAGGGATGACAACTTTGACCTAACACATTTTATCCGATCTATTTGACATGTTTTGGAGTGAATAATATCCATGGTACTCTCCTCGGGCTGAATGATATGTAATTTTACTTAAACTAATTAGGATTTAACTTTTATGGCCTCATATTTTAGCAATAATAAAGTTTTAAATATGCATGAATCTCAATTTCTTGAATAATTTAAATACACTTATCATATCCTTGAATAGTTTTAGATTTGTATCACATAATAAATTATCTTACCTAATACGGACGAACAGATATAGATATGCATATAATCGTCCTCAATTTCTAATGCCGGATGGACTGATGATGCAGTGATAAGTCCAAGGTTGTCATCTCGCGGGTCGAACCACCGGTTGACTCATTTTGATCTTGACCTGGTGAGAAAAATGGGCCACACACCCGTCGGGTCGACCGCTGCAAGGTACCGAATTGGAGGTCAAACTATGTCTTTTTTCCTTTGGTTTGTAAAATGCTCCAATTTTCCGATTTTTCTTTTCTCCTAACCTAATCTTTGAGATTCTAAGTTGAACATTCTAATATTGATGTTATATATGTGTGTGTGAATTTTCACTATATGTTGGATGCAAGTACAAAATGTTATTTTTGTGTAATGTTACATGTTATTACTCATATGTTATATGAGATTTAATATAATTTATAGATGTATAATAATATAATGTATTTTCATATAGTCGAGCTAAACCGAACTAAAATGGACAATTAACCCTCAACCCACTTGCTCGACCGATCCAATTTGCTAAACCAGGTTGACAACTTTAAATTAGTCGAAATTGTTGAAGTTGAGTAATGGAGCTTGAATTTTGAAACAATGATACCGCCAGAGTTTTGTTGCTTGAATTGTTAATTTATTGTTATCAACAATTGGAGCATGAGTTTTAATAAGTATTTTATTTGTATCTTAATTTAATTAGGCTTTTAGCCCCAGACAGTAGCGGAGCAGATGAGTAAACAAAAGGACTAAATAGTCCTTCCGTTCTATGCGCATAAGCAAGGAAAAATTGAATTGGGTGTGCGCTTAAGGAGAATCTCCATATATAGTTTGTAGGAGGATATTGTATAAACTAGAGCAAAAATAGAGACATCTCGATAGATCCTTCTGCATCTTTTACTCTACAAATAACTTACTACTGTCGACCATAAAAGTCGACGGACCATATCAAATTATCAATCACTACCTTTTTTCCATGTGTTTACATCCCGATCAAAATGCTTTGACCTTTAGGAAAAATTTGGAACCGAACAAATCTTCCTAAGCACAATCGACAAAACACAACTATTCTAAATTATCCAGTTCATAAACTTATAGCGCTTAATCCCACAACCCATAGAGAATCAGTCTCAGCCATTATGTTCCAAATATGTCGTGTGACACAAGCCTTATTTCATGTTTTGAAATCTCGAATTCCAAGCCCACCTTTATGTTTATAGCCAAGCTAGACCATGCCACCAATGCTTTTTTTCCTCGTATTAGCACAACCAACACCCCATAGAAACTTCTCAGGTAGCAAGAAGAGTGTCATCCAATACTAGGGGTGAGCACAGGTTCGTTTCGATCAAAATCGAACCGAAATTATGTATATCGGATACTTGAAACACTTCATATGCTAAACCTATTTCGAATCAAAATATAAATCGGTTCAATTTGACCGAACTAAACTACATCTCGGTTCTACTCCTATCGCCCATCTCCATCACCAACCAGCGGAGCAAAAGAAACGCAGCCCCACAAAATGAAATGAGTTTCATTCTCCCTACATAACTAAGCAGACACGCTTACCAAAATAAAGTTAAAATATGCTAAGTATAATCTTGTATTTACAAAACAGTTTTTCACAGATGTTACAAATCATAACTTCTGCTTTTATATTATACAAAAACATTTTTAATCTTTTCAAAAGTCGAGCTTTTAGAGGTGTTTGGCCCTGCTTCAGTTTTTGAAGCATAAAAGCACTTCTAGATGCCAGGCGCTCTACTTCTAGTTGGTGCATTCATTTTGGAAAATTATCTGTATCATAGAGGTGCATAAAGTAGGATAAAGTTTCAAAGTCCGTCAACAGAATCACAATATTGATCTATGTTAGAGGTAAGTTTTTAAGTGGTTTGGTTGTAGCGTTTATTCAATGAACTACGGGTGTGGACCGATGGTAATTAATAGGGACAATACAAGTGCAATCCAGATAATAGTTAATCCAGTCTTGCATGATCGCACCTAACATATTGAGGTGCACGTTCACTACATCAAACAACTAGTTGTCGTAGGAACCATCCAATTTTGGTATCTAAGAACATACCGCGAGCAGACTGCTGACGTGTTATCCAAAGCTATAGCATCAAGTAGACACTGGTATCTTTGTGCCAAATTGACGTAGAGAACTCAACATCAATCTAATGGAGGGTGGTAATTATATGAGGACTATAATGTGCATAAAAATTATCCTGTACCACATTGATGAGCTACAAGGTAATTAAGGGTTTTATAAGGCCACATGCCCTTAGCTACCAGTAATACACAACAACACAAAACGTGAACCTCCGCGACATCACCGTTGCGGCCCTGGGAACCAGCCCCAACATCGACGGCATCCACATCGAGAAGTCCACCTTCGTCTCCGTCCTCAACTCCACCATCTCCACGGGCGACGACGACATCTCCATGAGCCCCGGGGCCCGCAACGTATGGATCGAGCGAGTGGCATGTGGGCCGGGCCACGGCATCAGCATCGGGAGCCTGGGCTGGAAGCTCCAGGAGCCGAGCATCCAGAACGTCACCGTCAAGAGAGTCCACTTCGTGGAGACGACTAACGGCCTGCGGATCAAGACCTGGGCCCGGCCCAGCTTGGGGTTCGTCACCAACGTTCTTTTCCAGCACGTGCTCTTTGACAGCGTCAAGAACTCCATCCTCATCGACCAGAACTACTGCCCCGGTGGCCGGCACTGTCCACGTCAAGGACATCAGGTATAAGAGCATACGTGGCACGTCGCGGAGCAAGGTCGCCGTGAGGTTTGACTGTAGCAAGGCAAACCCCTGCGTTGGGATTACGATGCATGACGTGAAGCTTACTTACGTCGGCGGTGCCCGTGACGATAAGGAGGCGACTGCCACGTGTGCGAATGCCGGGGATACTTCGTCGGGATTTGTTACGCCGGTAGTCCGGTATTCTTAGGGCATTTAGTACTATATATACAGTTAAGCAGCGGCGGATCCAGGACACAGCGTAGCACTGGGCCGCATTTCATTAGAAAATTAGATATCGTAAAAAAATCACAGTTTTTTTTTTACAATATCAATTGTACACGTCAATCTTTTAAATTTTAATATAGTGAATTCATCAATAATAGAGTTTACGTCCACATCAAGATAAAATAGTTAACCAATTGGAGAGAAATTCATCGTTCATTTTGTTGCGAAAATGTCAACACAATCGACTAATCAATTCCTGTTTTCAACAGCTGCTCAAGTAATTTCTTAAGAGAATAAACCTCATATTTCTTTTAGTCTTTTACGTTTTAGAATTTGAGGTTTCATTGTTTGCTTTTCTTTATATGAGAATTATTGGAGCTAGAATTTTCAGGCTAAATTTAGAGTTGTGATTTGAATATGTTCATCTTACCCATTTTCCTAATTACACACAATTTTATTATAAAATAACACTGGGCCAAATGGTTAAATCGATAAACTCATAAGGGCTATACTAGTTCCGGATCCAGGGAAGGGCTAGGCCGGGGCCCGGGGTGGCCACCCCTGCATCCGCCACTGCAGTTAAGTTCCTAGCCACGACTTTTAGGGCCTTATATACTTTAGTTTTTTTTCTATGCGCAATGTACTTTACTACTTTAGTTATTGAATTATACAATCCACGAGTTTCGAAACTACAAATTAAATAGGGTCTTGCGTACCCATCAATATGCAAATTTGATATTTATGAGAGTGGAATGTTTTCGGAACTAGATATCGAGTGCTCAACCGAGAAAGTTAGTGGTTGATGGTTCAACGCTTAATTGTTATAGAATCGTTAATTGATTGTTGATAGAACCATTCATTCACTATAATATAAAATAGGAAATAAAATACCTCTATAATACACTAATTTAGAATTGAATTTATCACTAATCATAAAATATTCAAATTATTATAATTTATTACCAAAAAGTTCTAACAAAACATTTAAAACATCTTATACAAAAAATCATACTTTTTAAATTAAATTCAAGTCGGTAATAATTGTAGTGGAGAGAGGATTATGGAGAAAGTTATGTGAGGAGAGAGAAAGAGAATAATCAATTGTATTTGCATAATAATCTTATTTATTCTCAATTACCTATTAACTACTAATTTCTTATTAACTATCTAATCCACTATCAACCAATAAAATGACTTAAACAATATGCTTAAACTTTTGGGATTAAGCACATGAACCCAGACCTAATTTACTTCAGCGAATCAATTAATTATTATTTTTTAGTTTATTTAGGCTTCGTGCTATATAACTATAGTTTAGGATTCATCCAATAAAATTAGAACATTGTACTATATTGGAATTTCTCAATTAAGACATTATTTAATTAGCATCACTTTTTTTAACGTAGGCATGGTACACACTAAATTCAGTACCCATACCATAACTTGAACCCAAAATATAAATAGTTTAGGCAAAATACACTTGTATAGCCAAAACTTTGACGGTTTTGCCAAATATAGCCACATTTGGCGAAATACCACTTATAGCCAGAATTTTGAAAGTTTCATGACAAATATAGCCATTTCCGTTACAAACTTTAACGGTGTTAGAGACTCCGTCAGTTAGGTTAATGTTAGAGTGACTAGGATGCCAAATCATCGCACATGTCAGTGACAAATCACCCTATCATTGCCACGTCATTAAATTTTGATTTATAAAATTAATTAATTTTGAAAAAAAAACATAAAATATCACTTATTCCAATGTGGAAAAAGGAAAATAAATTAACTAAAATAAATAAATTAATTAAAAGCTCTTTTCTAATCTTTACAGATTCCTCTCCTTTCCTTCCTTTTCTTCTTCTTCCTACATCTTCGATTAAACCTAAAAGAAATAGAACATGGTCGCCGCTGAGGTTTCCGCCATGGTCGTCGGGTCTCGGCATAGGCAAGCGGTTGCGCGAAGAACGGAAGAAGAGGAAGGAACATGGCGGAGAGTCAGGGTCGATAGGGGAGTCAAGAATACAGATCGGAGATGGGGAAGACTGGACGACATCAGTGATGACGACGACAATAATGGCGGGATGACGAGTCGGAAGAAGCGCTAGAGTCGAGCTCGGATCGGCAGCTGTATCTCCGTCTCTTTGGCGGCCATGGATTTGGAATTAGGGACGAATCTAGAACAGGGAGCCATCACCATCGCCACCGCCACCGAATCCCTAATCCCCAAATCCTTGCCGTCGTCACCATCGCCACCATTACCATCGATCGACAGTGGAGCTGCGGTTCTGGGAGCCATCACCATCTCTGACCTGGTTTCAAGTTCACTACTGCTACTTTCATCCATTATAGACCTAGATCTACTTTCATCCATCTATTGTATTCTTCTTCTCCCCCTATTTGTGCCCTCACAACATCTTCCATTATCTCCCCTGCCTCTTTCTGTTTCTATCTACCTTCTCCATGACCAAACCCAAAACCTCCCCATTTCAATCTCTGAAAATGAAAGAATTTGACGAAAGCAAGCTGGACCCAGTTGAAATCACGGCTGTATGTGTTGTAATGGAGCCGAAAGGCTGTCGCTTTCTGCTGAATCCCGACTCTTGGCTGATTGCTCTGGCTGTTCACACAAATTCGCAACCCGCCGTTACCGTCGTCGGAGCTTCTCCCCCGGCCTTCCTCTCCTCCACCAGTTGAACCCCCAATTTAGTAAGCAGAAAATTCAGATAAGGGAGATCGAGATGCAAAGAGTGGATTGAGAATCGGGGTCAGATTTGATTCCGCTCTGGGCATTTTTTAAGATAGAAAGAAGAAGATAGAGATGAGAGGAGAAGGATTTCTAGGGAAGAAGAAAGGGGAGTGAATTTCTTGTTCGTTGATGCAGACGAGAAAAGGGGAGAAGGTTTTTTCTTTTTATGATTTTTTATTTAACTTAATTAATAAAAGGATAAAATTTTGATAGTGGGGAAGAAGGGAGACGGAGAGGGAAAATAAATATTATTTATTTTATTTATTTTTAGTTTCCACCTCACATTTTTAATTGACTAACGGTCGCCAACTCAGCAATGCCGTTAGTACAGTCAGCCTATTACTTGACACCGTCAAAGAATTGGACGGAAGTGGCTATTTTTGGTATTTCGCCAAAAGTGGCTATATTTGGCAAAATCGTCAAAGTTTTGGCTACACAAGTGTATTTTGCCAATAGTTTATTTTGTATTCCGTTATTTGGAGCTCGATTTCAAAAAAAAAAAAAATAAAAAAAAGAATTGCCGTTTACTTTCCGTTACTAATGGAAAGCACATTAATGTATTTTGAACCAATCCCTATGAGCCACGTAGTTAGGTTGCAGGCTGCTCCTCCAACCCGGATTGGAGCTAAATATTGTCCAACGTGTTAGGACCATGGACCAGGAAACCGGATCGTACCGACCGGTTGAACCGGAAAAACCAGGAATCGGCTGTTGGCCGATACGATGCAATTGTGTGGGAGGAATTTCCGTTCCGGCCGGTATTTTCGATTTAACCGGCCTACCGCGATTTTTCGGCCGGTTTTGTTTGTACCGGCAGTACTTAAAACAGGGAGATTTTTTTCCCACAGTGGTTACTCAATGGCGTCGTCATGTCTGTCGGCAGTGCGTCGCCGCTGTGAGAAAGTACCCAGAAGAAGAAGAAGCGATGAATGGTGGCATGATTGTCGACGATGGGTCTTCTTCCTAGTTCGGAACTTGGGTCGGCTTTGTTGTACTCAACAAACAACACTGTTTCCGACTGATCAGATCCGGCATGCAACTCCACGCGGGACGCGGCGAAGACGGACAAATAGGGGATTCGACATGCAACTCCACTTTTACCCGCCGTTCCAGCTTGCCTCCCTCCGACCGATGTGCTTTCTCTTGTTCCAAACGATATAATTCCTAGAAGAAAAAGAAGGAATCTAGACCACATCCCTCCTGCAACTTCTCGCAAACCAAAAAGAGAGAGAAGGGAGTTAAAATTAAATGTTAAGATGGGGAAGAAGATAAGATTAGGATGGGACGGAATTTGGGGAGAAATATTAGTTTTATTATTTTAATTAATATCTTTAGTATTTTTATTGTTATTTTATAATTATTTAGTATTTATTATCCGGTATAATCCGGTACAGTCCGGTAATACTCCGGAATGGTACCTGAATTTTGCCGACACGGTTTTTTGACAAAATTTTTTTTTATTATTACAAAAACGGTATTTACCAGTATGAAACGATTGAACCACCGTCTTACCACAAAATACCCTACCAAAATGTAATCCGGTATGATGTCCGGTACGGTTTCCTGAACCATGGTTAGGACTTAGGACTCTCATATGTTTGGCTCCAATTAATCATGGTTTTCTACGTTCGAGATCTGACCCTTTTAGCTTTATAAAGTTTCCCCACTTTTCATATGCTGGAAGAAGAAAAAGCGCTCTTCCATAATCAGTACTTCCACTCTTCCAGTGCCAAATAAAACGCATTGGACAGTTGTCCTTCTTTTCTTTCATTTATCTCTTTCTTTCTTTCTTTCCCTCTATTCTCCTCTAGCTCACAAATCATCAAAACCGCTACCGCAGCCATGGCGGCAGACCACCATCATCCCACCACCAACCAACCACCCTCCGATCTACACACACCGCTCCTCCCCCGCCGCTATTCTTCCCTCGGAGAGTTCGGCGCTGAGGCCAGCGAGCAGCTCGAGACCAAACTCTCCGACACCACGTCGCCCCTCCTGAAACGCCTCGCCTCCGGCTCCCGGATCGAGCTCAAACTCCTCTTCCACCTCGCCGTACCTTCCATCGTCGTCTACATCACCGGCTTCATGATGTCCATGTTCACCCAGATCTTCTCCGGCCACCTCGGCAACCTCGAGCTCGCCGGCGCCTCCCTCGCCAACAACGGCATCCAGCTCTTTGCCTTCGGCATCATGGTATACAACCCTGCGGCTCCTATATTCCCTCTCTTTCAGTCGAGCAACTTTCGTTTGATTAAATAATAATTTAATTACCGAACGCAGTGGGGGCTGGGGAGCGCGGTGGAGACACTGTGCGGGCAGGCCTACGGAGCGCAGAAGTACGACATGCTGGGGATTTATCTGCAGCGGTCGTTCGTAGTGTTGTCCCTGGTCGGGTTCGGTATCATCGGCCTGTACGTGTTCGCGAAGCAGATCCTGATGTTATTGGGCCAGTCGGAAGAGATCGCGTCGGCGGCTGGGCTGTACGTGTACGGGCTGATCCCGCAGATATTCGCGTACGCGGCCAACTTCCCGATCCAGAAGTTCCTGCAGGCCCAGTCCATCGTCATGCCCAACGCCTACATCTCCGTGGCCGTGTTACTGGTCCACCTGGGGATGAGCTGGGTGGTGGCCTACAAGCTCGGCGTCGGGCTGCTGGGCGCGTCGCTGGCGCTGAGCCTGTCGTGGTGGGTTCTGGTTGGGTTACAGTTCTGGTACATCGTCCAGAGCGAGACGTGTCGTGACACGTGGACCGGGTTCTCGGTGCAGGCGTTCCACGGGCTGTGGGATTTCTTCAAGCTGTCGGTGGCGTCGGGAGTGATGCTGGCGCTGGAGCAGTGGTATTTGGACGTGCTTGTTTTGCTCGCCGGGATGCTGGAGAATCCGGAGCTCTCCTTGGATTCTCTATCCATTTGGTGAGTCGGGTCGGGTCAAAAAAACACTAAGATCAGTTGGGTTTTTACGTCTTTCCGTTTCCTCTACGTATTACTTTACTTACTAAATACGGGCCGGGTATATGTGTTGCAGCGCGACGCTGATGGGTTGGTTCTTCATGATTTCCATGGGGTTCAATGCGGCTGCTAGGTTGGTGAAACACACATTCATTGCGTTTTGGAGACACTTTGGATTGCTAATTAATTAGTTAATTCCTCACTAATTAGTAGCGGGGGGACAGTTAATGGATCCAATGAGAATGAACCGTTGGAAAATTAATTAATTAAATGGATCGACGTGAGTGGATTATAAAAAAAAAACCCTTGTCATCGAAAGTGGGTCTTGGTACGATTAGATAATATCACGGGACTAATTAACTTCATTGTTTTTTAAGTATATTTTCTGATCGATTAATACATTTCACGGTTGACAAATCATATTGTCAGAGATTGCAGCAATCTCAAAGTTCCGTATTAATGATGCATATTTTGCACAGTCAAACAAGAGATTTCAGTTCAAATCTCATAAACTGATGTAATCTCGTAACAATTCCATGATATATTTTCTTGGTGTATCATGCAACCAAACACACACGTGGTCTTCGTTGAACATTACTGGCGGATTGAGTAAAGTTGACGTAAGATATGTTTAATTAATCACAGTGTTCGAGTGAGCAACGAGCTTGGTGCCGGGCATCCAAAATCGGCGGCGTTTTCTGTGGCGATGGTGACCGGAGTTTCCTTCTTGGTGTCGGTGGTCCTGGCGATTCTAGTGATGGTATTCCGCGACGTCATCGGTCTGGCTTTCACCGGTGGCCCAGCCGTCTCGGCGGCGGTCTCCGATCTGTGTCCGTTGCTGGCCATTACCATCATCTTCAACGGAATTCAACCAGTCCTCTCAGGCATGTCAATTATGTAACATTTCATTTTTCCTTAATAACAATAAGAATAATGGGTATCGTTCTTTGTCTTTAACGAAGAAATATCGGTGCAGGAGTGGCGGTGGGATGTGGATGGCAAGCTTTTGTTGCTTATGTGAATGTGATCTGCTACTACGTTGTTGGAGTCCCATTTGGTGCTCTTCTGGGTTTTCATTTCAAGATGGGTGCTAAGGTAGGTATTTCATGACTAACGTACACCATTATTTATTCTTTCTTTTGCTTTCCCAAAACCCTAACAAGTAATAATAATAGTTTACTTTTCCAAATGCCATATACAATCCCCATCCTGCAGCGTAGTAAGTAATATCGGGTATAGACTAGGAATATAACTTTTGACCGATTGAGTTGCTCAAGTATCACCCATTTCACATTATTGTGAGCTAAGACCATCTCCAATGCAAGCACTTAAATTTGGGGATCTTCATCCCCAAATTTGGGGATCTTCATCCCCATTTTCCCTTCTTTTGCTCCAATGCTACATCCTCTATATTTGGAGATCTCCAATTTTTAAGTTTTCCATTTACTTAAAAATGTACTTATCGAAGCCTTAATATAATTTGTTCATGTTAATTTTTGTATAGTTCGTCATCATTTTTATATACAAATTTTTCGGTAGAATTTTTTTTAATTTTGAGACCAAATTTTTGTTGACAAAAAATGATTGACCTAATTTGGGTTTACACACAACACTTGAAAATTATTGATCTAATTAAACCCCTAACTAATCCCCTAATTAAACCCCAATTAACCCTTAAAATCTTAAAAAGAAAAAGAAACGCCACGTGGCGGGCTTTGAGGAGTCTCTATATTTGGGGGAACCCTCATTTCCACCCCCAAATTTGGGAATCCTTTTGGAGATCTCCCCCAAATATAGAGACTCCTCCATTTATAAAGGCTCCATTGGAGCCAACTTTCCCCAAATATAGAGGCTCCCCATTTATAGAGGCTCCATTGGAGTTAGCCTAAGAGGTAACTTCCTCCTTACCGTGATTTGGAAGAGGATTGTTAACTTGTATGGGCCACAAGTTTTGGATTAAGACAAATCCCATGACAGAAGTTGTTTGCAAATTGTGGTGGCTTTATTGTTAAGAAAATACATTGGTTTTTCATACGCAACACATATTTTTTTTTTGTAATATGACATAAATTATTATTCAAAATGAGAAATTTTTATATCTCAAATTTTAATTAGCCGAGATAATTGAGTTGAAATTTTTTATGCTCTTGCAAAATAATAACTAAATATTTCAAAACTTACTAACATAATTAATCATACATACATAAGAGATTTTACAATGCATCAAATTTCTCACATATGATACATAAATTCACCGCAATACACTATTTAACCATAACAATTCTCAGTCTAGTTTATTACTTGGTAATAAGAAATGGATAATTATTACCCACATACTATCTTAACTAATGCAGTCAAAATCGCGTTTTAAAGTTTAAAATCTTATGGTTTTGTTCTTTCTAGATCACTAAAATGCTTCTAAATAGAATCATACTTTTCTCTTACAATTATAGTCAAAATCTACATTTTAAAGTTCAAAAACTTACGATTTTATGCTTTTATATCACCAAAATATTTTTATATAAAATCACATTTTTTACTGCATTGATTTTTAATAACAGGATACAACTGCTCGCTCCAAAACGAGTCATTAGCCTAAATGTAGGCATTTAAGTCATTTTCAAAACGAGTCATTAGTCTAAATGTAGGCGTTTGAGTCATTTTCAAAACGAGTCATTAGCCTAAATGTAGGCATTTGAGAAATGTAGACATTTGCGAATGTAGGCATTACAAAATAAGGGAACATATTAAATGTAATGACAAAATGGTGGTTCAGGAGATCGTATCGGAGGTTATACCGTAAAAGTAAATGGTAAGGTATTTTATATCAAAACAATGGTTTAATGGCAATTGAACCATTGTCTACCGCTAAAATCACCTACCATTTTAGATTTAGTTAGAAGTATTTCCGATCCGACCGACCGGTATGATAGGATTTCCTAAACCTTGCTTTTTACATCATCATGATTTTACCTTCCGTTTTCTCTAGTGCATTAAAAAGTGGGATTGATGAACGATGATCATGAGTTTGTGTTGCCGTGCATTTTTTTAGGGAATATGGACCGGTTTGTTGAGTGGCACCATCTGCCAGACCGTCATCCTAATTTGGGTTACGTATCACACCGACTGGCAAAAAGAAGTAAGTTTACTATTTCTTTATGATTACGGTTCTCATATATGATTATTGTCTTACATAATCCGTAAACTTCCTGCTAAAGATTTTCTATTCATTAGTTCATCGTCAACTTTCCACATTATTTGTAGTACCTCAAAGTATGAAACCCCTCAACTTCAAACGTTGAGCCTTTTACCTAAGCCTGCCTAATACCAAATGCTAAGTACATAGTAGTTGTCGAGCACATTTTTAAAGTAGTGTTTGTCAAAGCATATTGATGGTTCCGGTAGTAAAATTTACTATTGGGATCTAAAACGATATGCGGTTATAGTGGTATATTTTAGTAGATAGGTTCTGTTTCAATTATTTTGTGGTACTGTTACATGGCTTTCTCCCCGACTACACACCTTCCTTTTCAGTGGACCAATCCCTTATTGGCTTATTGTTGTTTATGTATGTTTGTATTCCCTTTTTGCTATGAACCAAACTTAACTTTTTTTTAATAAAATAACAATGGCTCTGTAGTCTCTAGCTTCAACTTTTGGTTATTTAGACAACTATATTTCTAAAAGTTTCAAAACAACTAAAATAACAACTTTCTTCAAAAGAAACTTGTAGGAAAGTAAAGTTGACTGTTAAGTTTGATGATGATTGAGTTAACTATCCAATTGAGTTTTCCGAAAATATTAATTTGAAAGCCATGTAACAACAACCATTATAGGTTTTTGTTTTTCACTAGTGTATTTAAAATTGTACTGTATATGTGGTTCGATCGAAAAAATCTTATATCAGATGCTAAATTAGTAGTGATTTTAAGCGGTATGAAACGATTGAACCACAATTTTATCATAAAATACTCTATTGCTGACTTTTCCAGTAACACCTTTCATACGATTTTATAATTCTTGCTTTTTACGCAGATGAGTTTGTAATAGGAGCAGTAAATTCAAGACGATTAATATAATATGAGACTATGAAACTAAATGATGACGATGAAACCAAATGCAGGTGGAAACAGCAGAGAAAAGACTGGATAGGTGGGAAGACAATAAGCAACAACCGTTGCTTCACAAGTTATGAAATGCTCAACAAGTCAAAAGACCGCATCGTGCTTATTTTACTAGCTAATTTGTGTGTGTATTTGAGATGAGATCATAAACATTAAATTGTTTAGCGCCTGACAACATGAAGAAAACTTGCATCAACCATAGTTATAGAAGTCCAAGAGAAATCGGTTTCATGGTTGATGTTGATGACTCTCTAGTCTCTAGAAGTCCAAGAGAAATCGGTTTCATGGTTGATGTTGATGACTCTCTAGTCTCTATACATTAATTTTGAATTTTCTAGATTACTAGTGGGTGATACATGGTTGACATGTCTTGTCTTGGGGGCCTTGCATGAGGTCTCATGTTTCTTTGTGTAGGCAACCTTACTTGGCATGTCAAAGTGATCGTGATTTTTTTGCTGCCTTGATTTCCTCCCAATTGATACATGCTTAGTCTTCTCATGCATGTTGTTGGAGACCATGCCCGGACTTGACATGTCAGCCAACACTCATGCATGTGATCCAATAACATTGTCCTTTAACGTCTAAACCTTCTTGGCCTCTGCACTTAGCACACAACCACCCATGATTCTTTTTGCGGTCATGTTTGATTTGTTTGTATTGTCAATTCTTATACATGTCCTCTTGTCCACCCCTCGAGGTTGGTGACGTGCACTTGCACCTAGGGCTGGAAGTTTAGTACTGGTATTTGGAATATACAGAATACCGTACCGAATTTATCACTATTTGGTATTATCGAATACCGGTTTATTTTTTAGGGATTGAGATTCATTTTGGGGTGCTATTCAGTATTAGGGATTACGGGATTGAGATCGATATATACCGAAATACCGAGAAATACAGAAAATTAAAAATTAATGAAATACAGCACACAACTTTTCGCCATTCCTACTTGATGGCCCTATTAGATTTAGAAGGGAAGGAAGAGACTCTTTCACAACTTAGAAGCCTTCATCCAACTCAATTTTGAATTTCCAGTTTAAGTCACTCTCGTCTCTCTCCCTCACCTAATCTCTTGTTATTTTTATAACACCTAAAAGCAAACACTAGTATTAGTCGTATCTCAGCCTTCAATTCGTTTAATTAAAGATAACCAATGACAAGAATTTGAGATGTCACCTCTCATCCATTCTCCTTGTCCATATCCTACCTCTAGGTAAACTCAATACTCTTTACTTAGTCTCTTTGCCCTAAAGTAAAAAAATCAAATCCACTTTACACATTTAATTATTAATTGCAAAGGTAATTAATTTCGTATTTGATAATACCGATTGGGATACCGAAATATTTAGGAATTGTGATTGGGATACCAAAATTATTTAGGGATTGGGATTGATTTTTGGGTGTAATTCAGTATTCGGGATTTCAGTATTTGGTATTGGGATACTGATACCGTACTGATTTCCACCCCTACTTGCACCCTTGTCCAGACTTAACTATATTTTACACTTACAAAATACATGGGTGACTTGGACCTAATGTGTCTTCGTGGACATGCCCCTACTCCATACTTCATGGTGGTAACATGTCCCCATGTCGAGACTTAGCCAAACTAGCATGCTTATCGCATGCATGTGTGGCTTGAACTTCAAGTGGCCTCTTGGACATGACGTGTCTATACTTAACAAAAATTTCATATCTACAATAGTAATTTGTGGCTTTCTCACGTCGTGACTTGTTGGATATGCCTCCACAACCACTATCTGCGGTTGGTGGTGTGCCCCCCAATTCAGACTTAACCATAGGATGTTTATCATAAACATGGGTGGCTTGTGATTTTTCTGTCCTCTTGCACACCACATACTCGTCAAATGGACATCTAAAATTCATCTTACGAAATGGTGACTTCTGTGCCCCCCCCCCCTTTATGGACTCTAGGTGGTTTGAGTTCATCACAATCATCTCATTGCCAACTCACTCGGGGTGGCATTGGTGGTGTGCAAAAGACAGTGGTACTTGGTCTAGTTTGAATGAATCTCCACCATATATGTCATCGACAGGTGTCCCAGATGGTCTTATATCTAGAATGGGAGATTGAACTCCACCTTGTATAGACAAGTCCCCATCGTGGGTCTTGAACGTTGGGGATTAATTCTGGCCACACCTCCAATGTTGAGATGGAAGTTGACTTGTCACTGATGTCGGTGAGGTTCCTTACATTGGTCGAACATTTTAACAACCAGTGGAAGAAAGATTATTACTCCATATAGCACTATTTAGTGGTGGATCTTTGCTATTTATTGGAAAAGTCCTTAAGTGAACCATAGATGTGTTCGACACATGTCTAGACTCGTAAGAATGGCTCTGAGTCTTTCTCAAGTTGCCAAACCAATTATATAGAAATGTATTCATACAAGAAATGAGAGAATCATGGCATTCAATGGGAGAATCATCATGTTCTATAAGAGAAATGTGACGTTTAATGTGAGAAGTTAAACGTAGGTTTACCTGTTGGGGTTCAACCACAACCTCCTTCATGGATTGATGGTGTGATGTGATGGCCACTACTTCATACATATTTTTTATCAATGTCGGCAAAGCTCCCATCCATCCATTGTTTCCAGCAAAAACATCCATTCAACTAACTTTAAAGCTAATCACTTGATCCACTTCCACAAACACATGTAGAAGATCATCTTCTTGATGGCTATGTTGTGGCGCCATCAAATCAAACACAATGTCCCATCATTTGTGCCAATTTATTTTCTAGAAATAAAACTTGCATTGAATTGAGATCAATGCACCTTTGACTTCTTTAGACAACGATTACTAAGACACAACTCACACCTCTTCAAACAAAGTTTGAACGAGGGTGTTTGATTGATGGTTTATGGGAATAAAATCTCAACCAAGTTACTTATACTCTTATGGAGGTTCATTGAGAGCTCCAAATTAAACCACGAGTATGGCTACATTTACAGAGAAAAGATAGAACTTGACATAGGCGTAAGTTGTGTGGTTTCAGGAACCTTTGTCTCCGTAGACCCCCCTCCTATATATAGCCATGTGGAGGTAACAAACGTAGAAAACCGTATTGAGAGTAACTTCCAAAAATAATTGGTTCCATTCTTCCTGTCATGTGGCTTACGTGTCCGCGAAGGTGGAATAATCGACAGTTTCTCATTAAACCGCCCACGTGCCTCTCTCTTTTAGAATTGAAGTTTTGGTGGTTACCTCCTCTCGCACGCTAAATGTCATCTAGATCTCACGACCAACGTGGTCAAGTTCGAGAACACACGACTAAGTCTATCTAGATCTCACGAACAACGTGGTATAGATCTAGATATCATGTCTAAGGCTGTCTATATCTCATGACTACCGTGGTCCGATCTCGCGACGAAGGCTATCTAGATCTCACGACCAACATAGTTTGGATCTTGCGACTAAGGTTGTCTTGATCTCGCGACCAACGTGGTTGTCTCAGACTTAGCTCTCTCATGATCAAAAGACTTAGTAGTTTGGGCTTAAAAATCTAGTACCATGAGGTCCAGTTTAAATAACATTAATTGTTATAATTGATCAGTCCTTATAAAGACAATAGATGTCTTATAAATAATAGATGTTGTACAAGATTATTTTTAGGTGTAAACAGGGCCACTTCGAGAATTGAACTTCAGTCTGTCTCAAATTGGGTTGTCTCCTTTCAAGCTAGGTTAGAAGCAAGACAATGGGTGTCGTTAAGGTAGAGGCTTGTTTTTGGGATATTAAGAAGAGGATGCATGTGAAGGATGAGCATCTTGACTCGCTAAAACACAACACCAAACTACGACCAAGTGTAATCGTAGTCCGGAAATGCAGTATAGTGGGTTCAGTATAACCGTAACACACCAAACTTCCACTTCTGGTTTCAATTCCAGTACAGAGCAGTGAATCGATTTCCCGACTAAATTAATTGATCATCTACTTCCAATTAGAGTGCTCTATTAACCTATGCAAAAACTATCGTTCTAGGTTAACGCATGAATCACAAGAGTTTGATCAAGACTCATGCAATTCTGATTAATGCCTTAATTGAATATATCAAGTCAATCATTCACCAACTGGGTTCATACAATCATTCATAACATACAAGACTAGCTTTCTTCATACCCAGATGGAAAGGAAGTTCACTCCATGGAGAGAAGAGAAATCGCAAAGCTTGGAAGAGAAATCATCATGTGAGGGATGAGAATCTGATCCAGGCTAGAAATTGACACTCCGGAGGGGGGGGGTGAAAGATCGAGCTACAATGTACTTAGATAACTCCAATCTCTTCCCAAGGTTGTTCTTTGTCACTTTTTCTCTAGGGCTCTCTCTTGCTATATTAGACCTTGAAAAACCGGATTCCCTTGAATTTCCTGAGTTGGCCTTTTGTATGCTGAGATTCGCGAGTTACAACTTACGACCACAGTTGCAGCCGTAACTTTCATTCCCGGCCCGTAACTTCCTCAAAAACGGCGGCGTGTATGCACTTCTTAAACCAAGAGTTACAGTCTTCTAGTGGAAGTTACAGCTTGGTCGTAACGTTGAGAAAGTGTTCGTAACTTTGGAAATGCCTCGGGGCTGCAGGCCTCCTCGTCCTCAAATTTACGCCCAGTCATAACTCTTCCTTGCCCCTCTGTCTGATCGCTCCAAATCGTCCCAAAATTTGCTCCTACACGCCCATTCACATTACAAGAACTGAAACATCGCGAACTAGCACAACCTAGCGTAAAATAGGTCACCGGCGTGATAATGCATGCTTAAACGGTCAAGGAATGCCAGTAAAAACATGAGCAAATGTGGTGTTATCAAATTCCTCCAAACTTAACCGTTTGTTTGTCCCCAAGCAAACCTGACTCAAACCAATGCAACTCTCCCGACCTTTACAACAACATGCAACCCCAATCGTCGGTAAAGAATTTCCTAGATCATTTAGCAGCTTACGAGGTCAACCAGTCTTCTAAGATATCCCCTATTTTCTCTCAATGCGAGTACTAGACTTAAGTCAGGATTATGCCGAGTAGTGGACACAGGATAAAAAATTTATGGATGAAGAGACTACTCACTACACACAACTACTGACTTTTCGTATCGGGTGCTCTTTCCGTTTCATTTCAATCGTTGGAACCCCTTTTTCTTACTTTTTTTCTTTTTGAATTCACACTTTGCAGAGGTTCCAAACTACAATTTTTTTGC